ACTGAAATCTTTTAGAGGGGGAGTAAACATAAAACACTAAAATAATGTGGTTGCCTATGTGTGCACTCCCTCTTATAATTGGGGATGTAGCTGTGTTCAGAATTAAGCAATCACATTCAAAATCATGTTAAAGCGGAGTTCCAGTCAGTTTTGTGTTTATTAAAAGTTAGCAGCTACAAAAACTGTAGCTGCTGACTTTTATTAACCACACACTCACCTGTCCCAGGGTCCAGCGATGTGCTCACCTGCGCTGTCCCTTCTCTCCTGGGCGCCAGCATCACAACTGTGGGCACCAGGGAGGGGGCCGAACTTCCAGCTCACTTCGCCGCGGCGAACTTAGCCGGAAATGGGAGCGGGTACCTGTCAAAAACAGGTATCCACTCCCCTCTCCCCCCCAAAAGTGCCAAATATGGCAGTGGAGTGGAGGGGGGGGGGAATAAGCAGAGATTCTGCTTTTGAGTGGAACTCCACTTTAAATAGGCGTCAGTACACAGCTGCCATCATTTAAAGTGCCTCTGATTAACCCCAAATAAAGTTCAGTTGTTCTTTCCTGACATTTTCTTAGTCGCATCCTACAGCAAAAGCCATGGTCCACAGAGAGCTTCCAAAGCATCAGAGGGATCTCACTGTTAAAAGGTATCAGTCAGGAAAAGGGTACAAAAGTATTTCCAAGGCATTAGATATACCATGGAACACAGTGAAGATAGTCATCATCAAGTGGAGAAAATATGGAACAACAGTGACATTACCAAGAACTGGACGTCCCTCCAAAATTGATGAAAAGATGAGACGAAAACTGGTCTGGGAGGCTGCCAAGAGACCTACAGCAACATTACAGCAGCTGCAGGAATATGCAAGTACTGGCTGTGTGGTACATGTGACAACAATCTCCCGTATTCTTCATATGTCTGGTCTATGGGGTAGAGTGGCAAGACGGAAGCCTTTTGTTACGAAGAAAAACATCCAAGCCCGGCTAAATTTTGCAAAAACACATCTGAAGTCTCCCAAAAACATGTGAGAAAATGTGTTATGGTCTGGTGAAACCAAGGTTGAACTTTTTTGGCCACGATTCCAAAAGATATGTTTGGCGCAAAAACAGCACCGCACATCACCAAAAGAACACCATACCCACAGTGAAGCATGGTGGTGGCAGCATCATGCTTTGGGCTGTTTTTTTTCAGCTGGAACTGGGGCCTTAGCCAAGGTAGAGGGAATTAGGAACAGTTGCAAATACCAGTCAATATTGGCACAAAACCTTCAGGCTTCTGCTAGAAAGCTGAACACGAAGAGGAATTGCATCTTTCAGCATGACAATGACCCAAAGCATACATACAAATCAACAAAGGAATGGCTTCACCAGAAGATTAAAGTTAAGGAATGGCCCACTCAAAGCCCAGACCTGAATCTGATGGAAAATCTGTGGGGTGATCTGAAGAGGGCTGTGCACAGGAGATGCCCTCACAATCTGACAGATTTGGAGCGATTTTGCAAGGAACAGTGGGCAAATATTGCCAAGTCAAGATGTGCCATGCTGATAGGCTCAAAAAGACTGAGAGCTGTAATAAAATCAAAAGGTGCTTCAACAAAGTATTAGTTTAAGGGTGTGCACACTTATGCAACCATAATATTTTAGTCTTTTATTTTTACTTTCCTCCAACCAAAAGATTTCAGTTTGTTGTTCAACTGAGATGTACAGTTTATAGGTTACAGTAACCGCTTCCGACCGCCCTATAGCAGAAATACTGCTACAGGACGGCAAGGGTGAGCAAAATCACATATATATATATATATATACACACACACACGATTTTGCAATTTCGAGTAGGAGGCAGACGTGAGCTGCGGCCGCAGCTGTCAATCCCTGGGTCCTGGCCGGTGATTACTTGCCAGCACCTGGTGATTTCTGAGGATCTCTGACGGGGAGGAGAACTGTTTTGATTACTAACAGTTTTCCTCCCTGTCAGCTTGGGCACAGCACAGCCATCCAAAGCAGTGTGATTTCAGTGAAGCACACTGACACTGCCCCATAGTAAAACACTCCCAGCACACAGTTAACCATTTGATCGCCACTCATGTTAACCCCTTCCTGCCCAGTGCCATTAGTACAGTACCAGTGGGTTTTTTCTTTTTAGCACTGATCACTGTATTGGTGTCACTGGGGATGTCAGTGACACCAAGTGAGTTCCCCCCAGTGTCAGAATGTCCGCCGCAGTCCCGCTATAAATCGTTGATACCGGCCATTACTAGTAAAAACAAAAATTAAATAAAAAATCCCAGTATACTTACACCTTCATTTGAAAACGCTATAACTTTCACATAAACCAATTAATTTACACGTATTGGGATTTTTTTTTTTAGAAAAGACATGTAGTAGAATACATTTTGGTGTAAATTTATGACAAAATTCGATCTTTTAAATTTTTACTGGACATGTTTAATAGCAAAAAGTCAAAAATATTGTTTTTCTTCTCAAAATTGTTGCTCTTTTTTTTTTTTGTACAGTACAAAAAATAAAAAATGCACAGACAATCAAGTACCACCGAAAGAAAGCTCAATTTGTGGGGGAAAAAAAGGACATAAATTTCATTTGGGTGCAGCATTGCATGACCACGCAATTGTCAGTTAAAGTAACGCAGAGCTGTAATGCAAAAAATGGCCTGGTCAGGAAGGGGGGTAAATCCTCAGGAGGGCAAGTGGGAAAAAGGTGGAAAAAGTTCAGAAATGATTTATCTTTGTCTCATTTTTTTACATCACAGAAACCTGAAATTTTAACAGGGGTGTGTAGACTTTATATCCACTGTACTAAATTAAGTATAAAAGAATTACATTCTTCTAAAATGCACTTACATTACATTAATGAAGATTCAAGTGTTTGGATGTCATAATAGTGTTACATAGCATTTGTGTACAGCCCACTTCACTTTCACGCCACAAACATAAATCAATGAACATAAAAAAGAAAATATTACCAGATGTTACAGTCTACTAGACTATGGAAAAATCATAACACAAAAAACACAGCTTCCAGAATAGTTTAAACTTTCATTCCAGGAATGTGTAATGGCTTTCAAGGCATTTTAAAAATAGGACATATGCTCTTTTGTTTTGTATATATGTCTTAGATCTGACCTTTCTCAGATTACGCTGCCCATTGACAATAGAGGTATTTAGTGAGTCCTAAAGAGAAGTCACATAGCATGAAGTCATGTTATGGTCAAATATGCACTTAGTGCACTAGAAAGCACATTATACGAGCAGCACAATAGCATTAAAAAACAAATCCTGGTATTTATTTGTTACGATTTTGACCATATTCTTGATTTCCTTATTATAACCCTGGCTAGTTTATTTTAAATGTACTGTCGGCATATCATTTTTGCAGGAAATCTATTTTATAAATCCACCACCCATTGTGTAAAGTAGTACTTCCTCCCATCTCCCTAGAGCATGCAGGATTTGTACAACCACTCTTGTGCATAGAAAAAATATTTACTTTGCCATTGTTTGCTATAAAAAGGAAGATTCCAACAAAAACACAAAGTGACAGTTACAATGTCCTTGTATGTCACAGTGTCATTATCACAGTGAGGCATAAAGAGTACTTGGAACAGATTTAATAGTAACATTACATAAAGGAATTAATAAACTATGATATTCCTGGAACCACTGGAGCAAACATGTTACATGGAAGACCATCTGGAAAATAAGTATCTTTAAAACTTTAGAGTAATAGTCTCCTGTTTACCCTACTGCTAATGATCCATGTACTGTGTAAAAATTTTTTTCAAAGACAAAAAGTTTGTTTACAAATAACAGAAGCATGGGTGCATGTTTATGAAGACAAAATTATGAATTTTATATGCAGCCAATAGAACTATATTTTTCCTTTATTTTATTTTTAATCAAAATGGTGTAAACATAATTAACCCCAGTTAAAGTTACTATAATGGTAGCAATACTCATCGGTTTCCTATTGTATTTGTTTCACCATCCTTTAGGGCTCACATATGTGGTCACATACAGATCTTCTTGTATGCAATGTATTGTTTAGACAAGCGTCCCCTTGTTTGCAATAGCCCGCATTCACCTCTCTTTGACTACACAGAACAGTCCTGCAACACATTTAAGTGGACGCAAGGATGTACAATTGTGCAGCTGTTATCCATTATGAGACCTGTGTTCTTGAGTTACCCATTGCTGTGTGCAAGTATGACAATCTGCATTCAGCATAAAAGCGCAAAAAAACCATCATAAGCAAGATGGTACTCAGACTAAAAAAAGGGCTTATTATAAACAAAAGTAATCCGTTCCAGACTCAAAAGCCCATAAATAATCACTTACAATATAAATAGAAGAGGGAAGCATTAAATAACCTGTTAGATTATTTTTGCTGTCTGTGTCCTGTTGGGGAGATTTCCCTTCACTTCTTGTCATAGAGACTAAACAGAAAGTGAGAGTAAAACTCTACAGAATGAGGGGTGTTCCCCTATTAAACAGCTGCCAGCAGAACAAGTGTCCCCATTGGAACACTCCCTCTCTATTTCTATTCAAGGGACAACTGTAAAACTTATTATGTCCCATCATTTTCCATTTCGATGACAATAGCCAACAGGAAAAATAGAGAGGTTGAAACTCCCAAGTGGTACACAAACAGGAATAAAAAAAAACTTAGCAGGGGATCTAACCCTTCTAGACTCTACTCAAAGCTTAAAAAACGTTTGGCTATATGTACACTTTAATCACATCACAATAACTGCATGAAATGCTGTAACTGGGTGTGTTTTTTTTTATTCCAAATAACAATAGGCAAATAGTTCATTAGTTGACTAAAATATACATTAAACCATCTAATATACATACAAAAGAATCCAGTAGGGTACAGGCAAACAAAAGCAGTTTGCTTCAAAACAAGTTGGTTGACACTGTATTTTGGTGGTCCCAAAAAAGTTACATTTGAAAGGATATAGCATATGTCAATGGGACATAAATGAGGTGAATAGTCACTTTCCAATGCAGAAATCTGAAAATATAATCTCTAGAATTTCTTCTGCCCCTATCCTTCCTGTGATAGTGCCGAGCTGTCTGTGGGCAATACGCAGTTCCTCTGCAACCAAAACCAAATCTTGTTGCCGATAGACATCATAGCGTCTCAGAGCATCTAGGCATGCAGTGAGATGAAACCTGTGACGAGTCTGAGTTATTGTTGGAGCTCCCTGAAGAGGGTCACCATAGCTGAAAGGAAACAGAAAACAAATACAGAGAGAGAAAGTATTACATTGTTGCATTCATTTAGAAGCTGTGTATCATAAGCTATTGCCGTATTTCTTACTTAAAGTGACATTAAAGACTTGGCTTATTTTTGGTAAAATAAAAAAAGATATTGCACTGAGCAGTCCCTTATCTACGCTTCTATAGTCCCCCAACATTACTCTCTGCAGATCCTGCCCTGCGGATGCCTCCATAGCAATCAGTGTCCTATTGGAGCAGGCTCTGTAAGTCCATAGACACACAGCGCCCTCAGGTACACCTGCTGCTCCCTCCTCAAAGGATTTGACTGACAACAGCAGATGCCTATGGTTCCCACTGCTCCCAGTGTCTTCTGTGAGACCAACAACTCTTGAATGACTAAGGAGTTAGGTAAGTGTTTAGGGCTGGGGGGGAACAGGTATTGGAAGTTTTTTTCCTTAAAGTGGAGCTCCACCCAAAAGGGGAAGTTCTGATTTAAAGAATGTTTCCTTGCTCCCCAATAAGGATTGGCACCTTTGGGGGGGGGGGGGGAAACGGGTACCCGAATTTGACAGGTATCCGCTCTGATCGCCTAGGCTATCGGAAGTGGAAAGTGCCCTCTCTTCCTCCCCTTAGTCTTGTGGGACACGTGACAGGTCCCAGAAGACTACAAGACCATTCAGGAATCGCCTGAGCAGTGGGTAGCTGCTAACATTTTTTGTCAGTGGGAGTGGAACTCCGCTTTCATGCAAAGAATGAATTAAGGTAAAAAAAAAAAAACCTTTTGCTCTTAGAACCACTTCAATAAATTCTTACTTTCACCTTTCTTTTGGCTATCTCCTGCAGGCTTTTTGAAAGCATTTACTTCCTACATGCATTTATTCTAGCGATGGCTGTATGGCATTACTTAGGGCAGGTTTCCTAATGGTGACAACAGCAGACCAAATCTGTGCATGTTGTACATCTGTGCATATTGGTACACCCCTTTTACTTCCCATAGGAGATAAGAGTCTGAGCAATGTCAGGATGTCCTGGAACATGGACTTAAGGCTCAAGAAAAAGCTGTTGTAAATTTCACCATGCAGTTCCCCCCAACCCCCCCCCCCCCCCCCGAATGGGTAAATAATTGATTTGTCTAGAGGGATTGAAATAAGTGCACATACTAACCTTCCACTGTGGTTTATGACCAGTCCCCCAAGATGTCATGATATACAGTATATTAATTGACCAGGGGACCTGCAATGTACATGAGGACTATAATAGCCTGCCCACGTCCCAGGATCGTTGTATAGTGTAGAACAATGTTGGCTGCTAGGAGAGCGAGAGTACATATATTTGTTGTTATTCCTATCACCTCAGGCAAAATTAAAAAAACAGAAAGATACCTGCTGATCCTGGTATAAATTCACTCAGCTCCTAATATCCTGTTGTGGGCTGAAATTCCAACTAATGGTGTCAGCCTTGCCCAGCTTTACTAAACTACAAAATACCACCCCCTTCTTTTCTCCACTACATTACAGGGAGCTGTTCTGAAGCTTAACCCCTTGACGGCGATCGCACGCAAATGTGCGGCCTCTTGGCATCTGAGCCTTGACACCGAGCACCCACATATTTGCATGAAAATACATATGTGCTGAGAGTGCGCACCCTGCACGCTCCCAGCACATATGTCCGCGACTCCCGGAAAGGTTCCGATCTCCCCTTTTCGATCGGGACCTTTTCCGATCATGTGACCACCATGACGGCGAATCACGGCAGTCACGTGACCCTAAAACCCCGCCCCCACCTCCTGGCTTCTGAAACTCTTAAAGGGCCGGGAGGCGCCGACGCGATGAGGTTAATAAAAGTGTGCTAGGCAGAGCTTAGAACATTCCTTGAGAAAAACTGTACGGTGCACATGACAACACTGGATTTCTGGCAGGATTAACAGGTATTTTTTGCACTTAAGAGTTACATAAACATTAGAGTGACTATTCACTCTTAAAAAAATATGAATTTGCATATAAATTGAAAATGTTTCGGTTTGACCTCCTATTATATGGTTTTGGTTAATCTAAAGGAAAGTTGTCCAAGAAAATTGTGTAATGTATGGCCAGCCCTAGTCTGCTGCCTCAAAGGTATCAACCAGAATGAACAGAGTGAAAATAACAGTTATCTCTAGTGTTTTGTTCTTAAATATCTGCATGTGTGCGTAACCTGATTAAAAAGGTAAATAAAACAGCACATAAATATTGTTAGGCCTAGTCTCTTTGTACACATAAGTGTACCAGGAAGAACTGTATAATTAGGCTTCAAAATTTCACTTACATGGTTTCTAAAGTTTGTCTGAAGATTCTTAAGAAGTCACCAATTCCTTCCCCTGTATGGCAAGATAATAGACATATTGGTGGCAGTCCATGCTTTTGGCATAGCTCCTGCATAGTAGACAAATGGTCTTGGCTCAGCAGATCCATTTTGTTCAGTACTACGATAACACTCCTTGGACCATTTTCCTGTACATTTAGGCACATGTTATGCAAGTGGGCCAAAATGAAGTCTTGAGAGATTGTACTATTGCTCACATCAATTACAGCTACAAGAATATCTGCTTCAGTGACCCTAAGAAAGAAAAAAAAAAGAAAACTGTATGTTATATCACTCAAATTCATACAGTGCCTTGAGAAAGTATTCATACCCCTTAAAATTTTCCAAATATTGTCATGTTACAACCAAAAATGTAAATGTGTTTTATTGGGATTTTATGTGACAGACCAACACAAAGTGGCACATAATTGTGACGTGGAAGGAAACTTTTTTAAAATAAATGAAAAGCATGGCGTGCATTTGTATTCAGCCCCCGAGTCATACTTTGTAGAACCACCTTTCGCTGCAATTCCAGCTGCAAGTCCTTTTGGGGATGTCTCTACCAGCTTTGCACATCTAGGGAGGGAAATCTTTGCCCATTCTTCTTTGCAAATAGCTCAAGCTCTGTCAGATTGGATGGAGAGCGTCTGTGAACAGCAATTTTCACGTCTTGCCACAGATTTTCAATTGGATTTAGGTCTGGACTTTGACTGGGCCATTCTAACACATGAATATGCTTTGATCTAAACCATTGCATTGTAGCTCTGGCTGTATGTTTAAGGTCGTTGTCCTGCTGGAAGGTGAACCTTCACCCCAGTCTCAAGTAATTGCAGACTCTAACAGGTTTTCTTCTAAGATTTCCTTGTATTTGGCTCCATCCATCTTCCCATCAATCTGACCAGCTTCCCTTTCCCTACTGAAGAAAAGCATCCCCACAACATGATGCTGCCATCACCATGTTTCACGGTGGGGATGGAGTGTTCAGAGTGATGTGCAGTGGTAGTTTTCCGCCACACATAGCGCTTTGCTTTTAGGCCAAAACGTTCCATTTTAGTTTCATCTGTCCAGAGCACCTTCTTCCACATTTGTTGTGTCCCCCACATGGCTTCTCGCAAACTGAAAACGAGACTTCTTATGGCTTTCAACAATAGCTTTCTTCTTGCCACTCTTCCATAAAGGGCAGATTGTGGAGGGCACGACTAATAGTTGTCCTGTGGACAGATTCTCCCACCTGAGCTGTGGATCTCTGCAGCTCCTCCAGAGCTACCATGGGCCTCCTGGCTGCTTCTCTGATTAATGCTCTCCTTGCCTGGCCTGTCAGTTTAGGTGGTCGACCATGTCTTGGAAGGTTTGCAGTTGTACCATACTCTTTCCATTGTCAGATGATGGATTGAACAGTGTCCTATGAGATGTTCAAAGCTTTGGATATTTGTTTATAACCCAACCCTGCTTTAAACCTCTCCACAATGTTATCCCTGACCTGTCTATTGTGTTTCTTGGCCATCCTGATGCTGTTTGTACACTAATGTCCTCTAACAAACCTCTGAGGGCTTCACTGAACAGCTGCATTTCTACTGAGATTAAATCACACACAGGTGGGCTTTTCTTTTAATAATTAGGTGATTTCTGAAGGCAATTGGTTCCACTAGGTCTTAGTTAGGGGTACCAGAGTAAAGGGGGCTGAATACAAATGCACACCACACTTTTCAGATATATATTTGTAAAAAAGTTTGAAAGCCATTTATCATTTTCCTTCCACTTCACAATTATGTGTCGCTTTGTGTTGTTCTAAAATCATAAAATCCCAATAAAATACATTTGCATTTTTAGATGTTACATGACAAAATGTGGAAATTTCAAGGGGTATGAATACTTTTTCAAGGCACTGTATGTCATTGCACTACAGCTTTTCTAATATGTATTTACTAATGTCGCACAATACACTTTTAATTCTCTAAGGGCCTATTTAGACAATATTTGGGTTTGTATCAATGGGCAAATGCAGCTTGCTTTCAGTTTCATTCAGCTTCCATTTGAGAACAAATGAGGATGATTCTCAGATCATTCTCAGTTCATTCACAGCTCACTTTCATCTAAGCTGCAGCAATCTGCTTCAGGATGCTTTTGCATTTTCATTAATTGTATGGGGAGAGAAGCAATTCTGACGTGGGACAAAAGTCCGTTGACACAGGCTCTAAAGAACACAAGCTACAAATAATGTATTGCCATTGCCATTAGTGTCTTGATATTCTTTGGATATTAACGTTTATGCACAGTGGGGATTTTCCTAGCGACTTCTTAAAAATATGCTCTGCATTTCACTTTTAGTTCTAAACCTATTGATAAATGTATTTACTTCGCATTGGCCTGTCTGACTCCTTCTCTTTTACAGCACTAGAGCTTTTCTATCACAACACTAAGTAAAACACAGCATGTACACTATAAAACCTCAGCACATACTGGAAATGGATAGCTTTTTTTTAATTAAAGGCACCTGGGGCTTAGTAGACCAAATGATATTTTAGTGCTTAGGATAATAGTAAAGGGCATTCATGCCAAAGTTACTGCTCTATATATCAAAGTCAATGACCACAAAGCAGAATTATTCTTTCCACTGATAATGCTCTGCATACCAAACCTATGTGCTATTTAAAGAGTATGTAAACCCAACATTTCATATCCCTGATATGTTCCTGTTATATCATGTACTTGTATGAAAAAGTATGCAGTTTTCTTTGTATTGCTTCCTTTGTGTGAAATTCCAGGTGTTCCTGACAGTCCCTCTGCTTTCCCCATTAAAGGATAAGTTCACCTTTTTAAGAAAAAATTATAAATGCACATACAGTGAGGAACAGAAGTATTTGAACACCCTGCGATTTTGCAAGTTCTCCCACTTAGAAATCATGGAGGGGTCTGAAATTCACATTGTAGGTGCATTCCCACTCTGAGAGACAGAATTTAAAAAAAAAAAAATCAGGGAATCACATTGTATGATTTTTAAAGAATTTATTTGTCTTGCACTGCTGAACATAATTATTTGAACACCTAAGAAACAGCAAGAATTCTGACTCTCAAAGACCTGTTACTGTGCCTTCAAAAAGTCCACCTCTACTCCACTCATTAATCTAACTTAGTAGCACCTTTCCGAGCTCTTTAAAGACACCTGTCCACCTCACAGTCAGTCAGACGCCAACTACTACCATGGGCAAGACCAAAGAGCTGTCAAAAGACACCAGAGACAAAATTGTGGACCTCCACAAGGCTGGAAAGGGCTACGGGGCAATTGCCAAGCAGCTTGGTGAAAATAGATCAACTGGATCAACTAGAGGGAGAGTGTAGTGGTGTGCTGACAGCCAGTGTGTGCCATGTAAGGACAGAGAGGGCAGAGATACCTACTCCAGCCAATAGATGACAACTATGATGGGAAGAGGAGCCTTCCTGGGTGTAAGTGCCTTACTACATACCTCACCTTACTCTGCACTCATACCACATCTGACAGGACAGTGTACTAGGAGTATGGTGTGTGTATTTTATAATGCTATTTTATGATCACAAGATCATTTGTATTAGTATATCACCGTGTTTATTTTTCCTGTTTTTTTTCTTTGTTTATGGATTGGGTAATGTAATACTTGCGCTCTTTTTTGAACAGCAGGTTTGGGAGTAAATACAAAAAGTATTCAGTTTTCCACATTTATTTCTGTAGCGCTGATAATACACTGATTCACTCAAGGTGTGTTTTTTTATTACTGGTAAAGTATGTGTATTTTATACCGCTAGTAAGGTGTATTTTATATTACTGGTAAGGTATGTCGTTGCAATCATATATGGATCAAAGCCATCTTTAACGCGGGGAAAAGGTGCAGCTGCCCCGGGCCCAGCGTTATTGTTGTGAGACCCTAAGCAGCTCCCCCTGCAGTCTCTGACCCTACCCTGTAGCCTCTTCTGTGGTACTCTTGCAGTATCTGGCCCTTTCTTGTAGTACATCTGCAGTCTCTGACTCTCTCCTGTGGTACTCCTACAGTCTCTGACCCTCTCCTGTGGTACCCCTGCAGTCCCTGACCCTCTCCTGTAGTATGCCTGCAGTCTCTGACCCATTCTTGTAGTACACCTGCAGTTTCTTACCCAGTCTTGTAGTACACCTGCAGTTTCTGATTCTTTCTTCTACTAGTCCTGCAGTCTCTGACCCATTCTTGTACTATTCCTGCAGTCTCTGACCCTTTCTTGTACTACTCCTGCAGTCTCTGACCCTTTCTTGTACTACTCCTGCAGTCTCTGACCTTTTCTTGTACTACTCCTGCAGTCTCTGACCCTTTCTTGTACTATTCCTGCAGTCTCTGACCCTCTCCTATACTATGCCTGCAGTCTCTAACCAACTCCTGTAGTATGTCTACTGTGTCTCACCATCTCCTGTAGTATGTCTACTGTATCTCACCATCTCCTGTAGTATGTCTACTGTGTCTAACCATCTCCTGTATTACGCCTGCAGTCTCTGAACCTCTCCTGTACTAACTGCAGTAACCTCTTGCCACCTCTAGAAAACAATCAGTGAGCAGTAATGATGTGCAGTAACCTCTAGCAACCTCTAGCGAACAATCAGTGAGCAGTGATGATGTGCAGTAACCTCTAGCAACTAATCAGTGAGTGCAGACCAGTTCTTTATATTTACATTATTAACATTTTTTGAGATAAGTCTATGTGTGTATTTATTTGTTTTCTGGCATGTTGTGGTGGAGAGCAAAATTGCATGAAGGGAGCCCAAGAAAATCTCACTCTATTTAACTACACCCCCTTTAAGCCACGCTCAATATTTTGCATAATTTAATCCATGCCTTGGCTTTCTGGACATACAGAAAAAAAGCAACCCTAAATTTTTTTTTGAAATTTTGGCAACTATGACCATCATGCACAATATCAATATAAAAACCAATATAAATACCAATATCAAATTTAAGGCGATTGATAAATTGATACAGATTAAAAATATAAGATATAAAATTGGTTGTACACACAAACACTATGGGTAGTATGGTGCTACATTCTACATGGGAGACTCGTGGTCCTCCTATGCAAGATTGTCTGAAATCCTACTCTGTCAATGCACACAAAGGATGCAGCTGTCTCAATCTGTCCAGGTTCTTTTCCTCTTTAGAGCACATAGCAGGAACTTTTTTTTTTAGCAGCAGCTGACTTCTTGGCAGACAAAACAGGATGAAACACAGTTCAGTGCTGTTTGCTGTAGTGATATTCCCCTAAAATTCTCAGGAAATGTACTGTCCCCTTACTAAAAGAAAAATCGATCACAGGATTTTGTTAACCAATAAGCAGGAGGAGTAAAGTATATACATTTTTATTCCATTTTTGGGGGGAAAATGTCTACACCTTCTACATTTGACCAGTGTCAAGAGATTGTATTTCTTCCATAGAGGGCTATTTAGAAGCATTCAAGAAGATTTGGTTTTGCTGCATGGAATTTATATTGTCTTCAGAATGCTCAAATCTCCTCTGGTCAGACCACATGAAAGCATTGTTTCTCAATTTCTGAGATTTTCTTTCTTTCATGAAAGGCTGTTTTAGAAGCATTCAGAAAGATATGGTTTTCTGCTTAGAATGCATATGGTCTTCAAAATACTCACACATCGGATCTGATAGACCAATTGGCAGCATTGCTTATGAATTTCTGATCCTTCACTGGAATACGGGTCTCTTTTAGAATATAATAATATTTAATATTGTCATGATCTTAATTATTATAGGCATTATTCTTGGCATATATATGATCTTTGAGAGGACTGGGATCACAACTTTATCTCATTTATTTATTTTTAGCCCCCACCATTAAAGTGTTACTAAACCCAAGACCCTGCATTCACTATATCTGATCTCCCACAGTACACAGAACATTGAAAGGGAATTATTTTAGTAAATATAAACTGCTAAATACCTTTGCTCATCAGCTGCATATAGCAATCTTGTGACTTCTATTAGTGTCCAGCCGAGCACTGGTTCAAACTTGCAGTTTTCATTCTCCCTTGACTATCCTATGAGGCTGAATGACCCGATACTCTGCCTAGACAGTGTTATTTGGTCCTTTGCTGATCACATGCACCCTCACAAAAACAAAAAAAACCTCTCTCTAGCAATACACACCAAACTGAACATGTGCAGAGTGCCTCCTAGGGCTATGTGCTATCAGCAGAAGGAGTGGGGACTGTGGAAGAAGGGGAGGATCAGAGAAGACTGGACCAAACAGCCTTTTTACACAATGCAGATGATTAACCCCTTAGGATCCACAGTGAGTATAAAAAGCGTGCTTTACTGCATACACAGACTGATTTTACCACTGTGGGTTTAATAACACTTTAATGCTCCTCAATCCATCTGATTTCAAGAAATGAATGTGCTTATGCAAGATATCATTTTCAGCCTGTGATGGACTGAACGGGCTTTCTAGCTAAGAAAATGATGCCATAGGCCTTAGCCAATTACCTGATAATCCTATGTGCTCTTTTTAGTTTATTTCTGCAAATACACTTTCTCTCCCACTAAAATGTACATGCATTGTTCTCTCCACATTCAATCTGGGATACTGGTAAATGGACATGCATTGCGGTGACAATGTTGTTGAAATAAATGTTCTGTACACTATACACTTGCACATCTGTCATTACATACACAGATCTCATGAGAGGTCAGCGAGGCACTCTTTGCCATGTGACTTATAAAGACATGGTGCCAGCTCCTTGTGGCAAGGGATGCAAACTTACATTGTGGGATTAAAAAATACAAAACCAGGTTATTTTTATTGTAATGTCATTTAACGATCACTAACATTTTAAAATGCTTTCATTGCATTTTATTGGCATGTCCAAATTCTGCTTTAAAGTTTACAAAGAGTCCATCATTTTTTAATGCATTAAATGTTTATTGAAAAAGAAAACAAGGTATGTGTACAGACTTCTAAGTTCACAATATTTCAGCACCAAGATGGGATGTCTACAATTATGATACTATCAGGATCACATTGTGGTTTTCCATGAGACATTTTGAGGTTGTACACCTCGTAATATTAATAATAATTGTTGTAAAACATATACTGTAGACAGAATACACATTTCAGTTCATATGGGTTGGTTGTACCATTAGTACCATGGTGCTGAAGTGCAATACATTGAAATATTAGGTAGAAGTAGGTACCAAAAACAAAGACCAGTCTCCCCGAAACATAATTATTAACCAGCCTTTATTAACCACTTCCAGACCGGACACTTTTACCCCCTTCCTGACCATGGCAATTTTCAGCTTTTAGCGCTATCACACTTTGAATGACAATTGCGCGGTCATGCAACACTGTACCCAAATGAATTTTTTACCATTTTTTTTAGACAGATAAAGCTTTATTTTGGTGGTATTTATTCACCACTGGGATTTGTATTTTTTTTGCTATGTAAATGAAATGTCCAAAAATTTTGAAAAAAAGTGTTTTTTTTATAAAATTTTGCAAATAAATAATATTTCATGATAAATCTTAGCCAAAACTTATTCCGTTATCTTTTTAGTAAAAAAAAAAATCCAAATTAGTTTATAAGCAAAAATTATAATTTTTAAACATTTTTTTTTACATTTTTATTTTTTTTTTTATATTATTTTTTATTTTATTTTTTTTTTTTTACATACTGTCACCCTAGCAGTACAGTGTCACCATGGTGACACTGTCACCCTAGCAGTACAGTGTCACCATGGTGACACTGTACTACTTGTGGGGGGTGATGAAGATTTTTTTTTTTTTTATTTTACACTGATTGCTTTTACACCCATATAGGATGTAAAAGCAATCATTTCTCTTTCTCTTTGTGTGCATTCTTGCACTCATTGAGAAGTACTGAGTGAGCTGTGATTGGTCACAGCTTGTCACATGGTACAAGGCTTTTGTGAATAGCCTTGTACCATGTGACCTCTGTGATCATTCACAGATTTCACACGTAGTAAGCAATGATGTCAGAAGTGACATCTTGCTTACTACTTTGCATGTGATCACTGATTGGCCAATCAGTGATCACATGATCGGGACCTCGTACAGAGGTCCCGTCCGACGATCGGTGTTTCACTGTGTCCGGAGGACACAGCGGGCACCGGATCGCGGTGCTGCACGCTCCCAGGGAGTGCGCACAAGCAGGGTGCGGGGAGGCCGTTTATAGACGGCCACCCGACCCTGCAGTGCCACCGTCCGGCCGTTTATATACAACGGCCGGACGGGAGGTGGTTAAGGCACTGCTTAGTTGTGTGCTAGAGTACAGAAAGGATGCCATAGCCATATGCTCTGGTTAGCCAAGACTGAACCATAAGAGTGGATTGAATATTAACCACTTCAAGTCTGGACACTTTTACCCCCTTCCTGTCCAGGGCAATTTTCAGCTTTCAGTGTTATCACAATTTGAATTACAATTGCATGGTCATGCAACACTATACCTATATGAATTTTTTAGCATTTGTTTGAGACAGATAAAGCTTTATTGTGGTGGTATTGATTCACCACGGGGATTTTTATATTTTTTTCTATGTAAATGAAAACGTCCAAAAAGTTTGAAAAAAAGTGTTTTTCATTTAAAATTTTGTAAATAAATAATATTTCATCATAAATATTGGCCAAAATTTATTCCGTTATCTTTTTAGTAAAAAACAAATAATCCAAATTAGTTTATAACCAAAAATTATAATTTTTAAACATTTTTTTTTTACATTTTTATTTTATGTTTTTATATTATTATTTACATACTGTCACCCTAGCAGTACAGTGTCACTGATTGCTTTTACATCCATAAAGGCTGTAAAAGCAATCATTTCTCCTTCTCTCTGGCTGCATTCTTGCAGCCATTGAGAACTACTGTGTGAGCTGTGATTGGTCACAGCTTGTCACATAGTACAAGGCTGTTGTGAATAGCTTTGTACCATGTGATCTCTGTGATCATTCACAGATTTCACATGTAGTAAGCAATGATGTCAGAAGTGACATTTTGCTTACTACTCTGCATGTGATCACTTATTGGTCAATCAGTGATCACACAGAGGTCCCGTAGGAAGATCGGTGTTCCACTGTGTCCAGAGGACACAACGGGCTCCGAATCGTGGTGCTGCGAGCTCCCACACAAGCAGGGGGGCGGGGAGGCCGTTTATAAACGGCCACCCAACCCTGCACTGCCATTTATATACAACGGCCGGACAGGAGGTGGTTAATATTGCTCTCCTATGAGCTACAGAAATTGAGACAGGTAGAGAGATTTCCAGAGTTCTGTTTTCATTTTAGCTGGAGACAGAATGTGGATTATAACCTTTCAACCAAATAATTTAAAAAATTGCAAAAAAGAGTTTTCTAGTGTCTTCTTTTATGATGACATGGTGATTATGTTATGCAACTCACTTTCAGTTCTGTATGGATCACAAACTAGAAATAAATGTATTCACCTTGCCTTGGCACGTCTGACTCCTTCTTTCTCTATTGGGTCATCAGAATCTCGCAATCCTGCAGTATCACTCATAATAATGGGATAACCTCCAATGTTTAGTGTGGTCTCCAATACATCTCGGGTGGTGCCAGGGATGGAAGAAACAATAGCTGTTGGTTTTTGGCCTGATATAAATACAAAGAAAACTTAATTTCTTTACTTCACCTACATTTCACTGCTTGAGAGAAAACGTTACAAAAATCAGCCAAACACAACAGCATCCTTCTTTGGTCAGAAAAATTAACCAAATATTGGCCACAATAGTGGCTAAAGGTCCATGAGTGAATGAGGAAATGCAATGACCTCTCACTTGGCTTGTGCAACATTGCTATGTACAGTGCCTTGAAAAGTATTCATATCCCTTGAAATTTTCCACATTTTACAACCAAATATGTAAATGTATTTTATTGGGATTTTATGTGAGAGACTAACACAAAGAGGCACATAATTGTGAAGTGGAAAGAGAATGATAAATGGTTTTCAAAATGTTTTATAAATAAATATCTGAAAAGTGCGGTGTGCGTTTGTATTCAGCCCCCTTTACTCTGAAACCCTTAACTAAAATCTAGCGGAACCAATTGCCTTCAGAAGTCACCTAATTAGTAAATAGAGTCCACCTGTGTGTAATTTAATCTCAGTATAAATACAGCTGTTCTGTGAAGCCCTCAGAGGTTTGTCAGAGAACATTAGTGAACAAACAGCATCATGAAGGTCAAGGAGCACACCAGACAGGGCAGGGATAAAGGTGTGGAGGAATTTAAAGCAGGGTTAGGTTATAAAAAAATATTCCAAGCTTTGAACATCTCACAGAGCACTGTTCAATCCATCAGCTGAAAATGGAAAGAGTATGGCACTGCAAACCTACCAAGATATGGCCGTCCACCTAAACTGATAGGCCGGGCAAGGACAGCATTAACCAGAGAAGGAGCCAAGAGGCCCATGCTAATTCTGGAGGAGCTGCAGAGATCCACAGCTCAGGTGGGAGAATATGTTCACAGAACAACTATTAGTCATGCACTCCACAAACCTGGCCTTTATTGAAGAGTGGCAAGAAAAAAGTCATTCTTGAAAGAAAGCCATAAGAAGTCCCATTTGCAGTTTGCAAGAAGCCATGTTGGGGACACAGCAAACGTGAAGGAGGTGCTCTGGTCAGATGAGACCAAAATGGAACTTTTTGGACTAAAAGTAAAATGCCACGTATGGCAGAAAACTAAACAATTCACATCACCCTAAACACACCATCCCCACTGTGAAACATGGTGGTGGCAGCATCATGTTGTGGGGATGCCTTTCTTCAGCAGGGACAGGCAAGCTGGTCAGATTGATGGGAAGATGGATGGAGCCAAATACAGGGCAATCTTATACGAAAACCTGTTAGAGTCTGCAAAAGACTTAAAGCCGAGTTCCACCCAAAAGGGGAAGTTCCACTTTAAAGATTAGTCCCCCGCTCCCCATTAAGGATTGGCACCTTTAGGGAACGGGGGGGAATGGGTACCCAAATTTGACAGGTACCCGCTCCCACTTCCGCTGCGATCTCCAAGGTGATCGGAAATGGAAGCTGTCCTCCTACCCTCCCTCCCCGAAGTCTTGTGGGACATGTGACAGGTCCCAGAAAATGACGGGGCCATTCAGGAAGCACAGCACTACTCGCGCATGCGCAGTGGGCACCCGGATGTTAAGCCACAAGCTGTCACAGCCGGGTGCCCACACTGAAGACGCCGGCCTCCTGGAATACAGGGCGACCGGTGAAAGGGGCTGTGGCGGGGGCAACGCGGGATCGTGGGACAGGTAAGTGGCTGTATTTTTAAAAGTCAGCAGCTACAGTTTTTGTAGCTGCTGACTTTTATTTTTTAAAAAAGTGAGTGGAACTCCGCTTTAAGACTACGGCGGACGTTCACCTTCCAGCAGGACAACGACCATAAACATACAGCCAGAGCTACACTGGAATGTATTAGATCAAAGCATATTCATGACACATGCTATATATGACCAAACTTAGTGGTTTGGTAATATACACAAGGTGAGAGCACAACCGGTGAAGGTGTACACATATTGGCTTGAATACATTGCTTTTGGAAAAATTGTTCTTTTGAAAAACAACAGACTTACTGGCTTGATTGTAGTGGATTGTGATAGACAGTCCACGTTTTATTAGATGATCAGTAAAATGACAATTTTATAGTCTTGCTACTTTCTGCTTCTTGCTCTTGAAATTCCTTACTCTCTTAAGAAAACAATCAGATATAAGTTGACAGAACAATGATGATAATTAAGATGGCGCCTTCATCCGGAGTCTCACCCTAGGTGACTAACGTAAACAATCCCCATAAAAGGGAATGATTCATTTTGGGGACAATGATTGGAAGATATCAACACGGATGGAAAAACACGCAGAAACCCAGTGGACTTTTCACCCAATGTATATGCTTTGCCTGCATCATAAGACCTATAAATGATACTGTTAGTTCCTCAATAAAACAGAATTTTAGGAAGCTGGCAAACTGCAACAATGTCAGTGTCTTGCTTCCATGTGCACGTAATTCTATATTAATTTGGCTCACTGGTAGATCACGGTAAATGGTCTGTAGGTGATCTAGTCCAAAACATGATCACCAGATGAAAATAGAAGAAAGGAAGCCTAAAAAGAAATATGATTGCAGCTAAGAATTGGTAAGCTGCAATATAATAAATGTTTGCTTTTCAATCTAATACCACTTTAAAGTATATAATATAAATGTGCCACGCAAGGAAATTAATAAAATAACAATTCACATGAAATAAAATACTTCAAAATACTGCATATTATGAGGAGCATAGATCACAAAGTGCCCTGATGAGGATGCTTGGCAAAATATTCACAATGATCACTTTTATGCTTAGCTAAATATGCTTATCAGTGCCCTAATTAATATATTGTATACATACCTTCTAATAAATATATGTGTGTTTTACAGTATAGAATTACAAAAGCACTACACATCACAGAGTCAACAAATAAATATGCATTTCATTGTCCAGACACAAACAGGATTTTCTCCCTATTAATCACTCTCCTTTTTACTGCCCAGTTACCTAATTGACCCATTGTCCTATGGCTTTTGTACTCCTCACCTACAAAAAATAACACAATTTCTTGAACCCATTAGTCATACTCATTGGTTCGAAAAGGGTCACATTAGTCATACTCATTGGTTCTAAAAGGGTCACATCCTAAACTGAAGCATACATATTTACACAATAGAAAATTTTTTAAGGGAAGGAAGCTAAACATAGACTGGAAACTGAAGATGCTTGTGAATATTTAATTTCACAAAAAAATGCAATTTCTACAAAAGTATGGCAAATTATATTGCTGTATTAATAGCTCCTAATATTGTAACCGATACCCTGTGAGTCACAGTAATAAGTGGTTATTTAACCATTGTTCTACTGGGGCAATTTTAACATTTTTGCACACGTTAAAATGAGCATTTTGTTTTTGCTAGAAATTACTTTAAACCCCCAAACAATCATATTTTCTGAAAACAGAGGCACTGTAAATAAAATTGTGGTAGTTGCAATTTTTTTAATGTTAAATGATATTTACACAACTGTTTATCAAATATAATAAAATTTATTTTCAAACATACATACTGTAATATAATACCCATTTTTGGTAAATATAAATATAAACAAATAACAGACATGTCAAGCCTTAAAATTGTGTGCCCGTGAAATCACAAAACACTACAGTGCCCAAAGGTGTCCATATTTACATGTTATCAGTTTAGAGTTAATAATAGCCTTCAAATTATTGTACTCATGCTGACTTTCACAGCGATACCTCATGTGTGGCACAATTTATGTTTACATGCATGCCTTTGCATGTGTTTAAATTTGGGTGTGTATGGGAGCAGCCGGGGCTTTTACATTTTTTATTTATTTTACGCTATTGCTATTGCATGGGGGTTATCAAGCCCCCTATCTCATAGCCTGTGGATGTGACAGCAGTGTTGGGACAAGATCATCCGTGGCCTAGGGAAAGATGTAATAGTAGGCACTGCTGCTACTATGTTTGCCGCTAGCTTCTGGGTCCCATCCTGAGCAGCTGCCCTGCTGCTTGCTGAACACATAAGGTTGCCACTTTGCATTTTCTCAATGAATTCAAAGTGTTCTCTGTTTAGACAAAATTGTGACCTCACCACCCCCACTCTCCACCTTATCCAATCAAAGAACTTTACATTCACTGAGAAAATGCAGTGTTCTCTGAATGGCACTCATGCCAAGAGAGCAACGTTCTGTGTTCACTATGTAGCAAGGAAGCAGCTCAACACAGTACCTAGAAGATAGTGGAGATCACTGTAGTAGTGGTGCCAACTACTGTGATTTGTTGCTTCCACTAGAATCCCTCAGGATGCCTGATGCTGAAAAGCTGATGAAGCACTAACCAATCTAGTGGAGTGCACGTTGACTGAAAAACCCTGCCCAGTGTATAAGCTAGCGAGATGAGCTTCCAAATCCACCTGGAGATAATGGAATGAGAAGCAGGTTGTTCCCTAAAGGGACCCTCAAGAATGACAAAAAACAGAGTCTGTTGAAAAGAATCAGTAGTAGAGATACAAACAGCATGTACCACAGTCAGGGGATGGGAATCTCCTTGGGATGTCATGGAGCAGGACATAGAGATAGAAGAACAGTGTTTTTGTTAGGAAGAAAGGAAAAAAAACTAATTGGGAAGAAAAGGGGCATTAGACAATCTTATCTCTGTGTAGCCAAGAAAGGGCTCTTTACAGGTTAAGGCTGCCAACTTAGAAACACGCCTCAGAGAGGTGATGGACATGAGGAAGGCAACCTTGTGAGTGACAGTAGACAAGAGAATATCCATGGTAGGTTTAAAGGATGGTTTTAAATGAACCGATAGAAGCAGGCTGAGATCCTATTAATTCAGTAGGAAGCATGCAGGAGGAACAATGTGTGCAACACCCTGTAAAAAGGCTTTCACGAAGGAATGAGAGGCAAGAAGTCTTTGAAAAAGAAATGCCAAGGGGCTTGATGGCACACAAGGCCATAGGTTGATCTAGAACAGACTAGGGGAAAAAAAGAATTCAACAGTGCAAAAAATGGCCACTGCCCCAGTCTATAACTG